CGCCTCGTGGTTGCCGATGCGACCGCGTGAGAGAGCGTAGAGGGTGACCTGCAGTGTTCAAAACAATGAAAAAAAATGTCCTTGTCCGATGGACAAGCTACAAGATATTTTTTCTTGTCCTGCAAAATTTTTGCTTGTCCTGATTAATAACATCTTAACTTTATTAATAATTAACCCTTTTAACAACATTTAATAACTGATTAATAACATCAGTGTTTAATGTAGAATAAAAGTGGATTAAATAAAATAAAAGTCTATATTTATTCTAACCACACAATAAAAATGTAAAATTACACAAATCCTCATTTTATTAGCTGTGGGAAGGGCGCCAATACAAGCGGAAGTGACGAATTTCGTCGGGTTGTATCTAAAAGACGAATCGAAAATACGAAACAGACTGCAAAAAGGGCGGCAGCCAGCGATGGTAGAAAATGATGAAAAATAGCTCTAAAAAGTTGCTCTAAAAAGCTGCTTGTCCAGCGGACAAGCTACTGGACAGGTCTACTTGTCCTCTGTGGAAATGGACAAGTGAGAACAAATGGATAGCCGTTATTTCGAACACTGACCTGCGTCGCGGCGTCGGATAGAAGCATCGCTGCCGTGCTCGTCTCACCGCTGCCCTGACTCGCAGACGAAGTCTGGCTGCCGCTGCTGTTGCTGCCGCATAGCAGTACGCCGTTAGAGGGCGCCGCTAGAGGAACAAACACGACGCAGCCGTCAGGAGCGTGTCTCGCGAGATCGTCAGCAAAATAGACGAAGTGGTGATGTGGTGAAGTATATATCAGGAGTGAATAATAATAGATCTATAATCAATATCTATTATTTATAGATTATAATCTATAATCTATTATTATTTAACCTAGCTGTATATATGAAGTGATATGAAGTGATATGAAGTGATATGAAGTGATATGAAGTGATATGAAGTGGGATATGGTGACGGTGAAAAAGAAGGTGTTGAACGCTGGTGTAGCTCATTGGGATCAAGGAGCTAAATATAACAAGGAGAGGAAGCTGTGTGCTTTGGGACGATAGGTCCAACCATCTCGACGTGACATGCATCGATTTCACTATGCAGTGTTCGATCAACTTGTCACTCGACGAGAATGCGCAATAAATTAAACTTGCTTAGTTACTTGCTGTAACAGGGTTCATAGTAGTAAGACACATGTTGAAATAAGGACTTATAAGACCCTTTCTGGAGGCCAAAATAAGACTTTTTTACGCGATTTCTGATAGATCACCGACTATTAAAGTAAACTCAATAATATTTATATGACACAATTGCAGAGCCGTTTCGCCGAAATTCAACACAGAAAATGTTGAAAATGGTCCTTCGGCAAAAATAAGGACTATTAAGTACTTTTCTAAGATTTCACAAAAAATAAGTACTAATAAGAGCCCTTATTTTATTTTTGGCAAAATAAGTACTTATAAGACTTTGGAAGACCCGCTACGAACCCTGTGTAAACGTGATGTAGTTGACACACTCACATCCTACTATGAAATGTGACATAAAAGGACAAACTCAAATTAAACACGTTAATGGTGCAAAACGTACGGACAGCCACAGACTATAACGGACCAAATTAGCATCTAATTACAGTCCGCATTTAACTATATGGACAAGTACGTACTAGACGCGTCAGGCAGGTACTAGTCTTCAAATGGACTGCCTGTTAACAATTAATAATCTTGAGCACACATATTTATTACGTGCATAATACGCGGATTCCACCAGAACCATCGTTAGCATGATAATACCAACAGCGCGAGCTTTTGAAGCAGCCAAAAGATAACACATGCAGGTCCAATTGTTATCAGGCAGTCCGTTTGAAGTTTGTGTCTAGTACATGACCATCTGTGTACGCGTGATCCTCCGTGTATTTTACAACAGACTGTAACTAGGTGCTGATTTGGTCCTTTATAGTCTGTGGGTGTCTGTACGTTTTGTACAATTCACATGTTTACTTCGTGTTTTATCCATTTATTCCATTTCATATTGTCATTTACAAGGTTTGAAAAACATTCTTTGCTATTATTTATATCTTTGAATTCATCTATGGCAATCGGAAGATCACTAAGCAGTGTGATTACAGACGCTGTGTTTTGCGCCATCGTTCGCAAACATACCTGTTTGATCAGATATGATGAAGAAGAACGCCAGTTTACCGGTAACGGAGTCGGAGGGATGCCTCTTGGCCAGTGAGAAGATAAGCACGTGTTTCTCTCTAAAAATGAATCAGAACGAGAGCATATGAACAAGCGCTGTATCTTTAACAACAGTTTCGTTGTCGAAATGCTCAACATTTGCATGAGAGTGCATAGCCCGAGTATGTCTTTCATTAAAATGTCTCCCCCTTCCCCCCCTGAGGACAAACTGGATTGCCAAGCAATTTCCTCCCTCACTTCATGTATCTTGCTTTCTCTCAGCATATAACGCCCCTGCCCTATCAAACGCTGCTACTGCCTCTCGCTAAAAAGTCATACGTGAGGGTGTAATAGATATGTGGTGGCCCACCACTACTGCACCGACAGAATAATACATTTATTAAAAAAGAAGCATTTTGCTATGCATTCAGCCAGCCCAACAGCAATAACCCATGACACGATATATGACTTCGATCGTTTCGAATTCTTAAGACCGTTCCCACTATTTACAAGACGAAAGAAGAGAGTTGCACCTGGGTTTTTTGGCAGCTTTCTGCTGGAGGTAGCTGAGTTGCACTTGCACCTGTCCAAGGAATCGACTGCCGATCGGGCGACTTCTAGCAAACTTGTCTTTCACCTCAAACAGCAGGGTGTCGCCAGGGTATGCTGCCAATCCAAACTTCTACGGATGCGTAGGGAGAGGGCCATTAGATGCAAAGAACAGAAAATTGGGAAATGGATGCATTCCACACTTATGCAACCAGCTACTATTGTGCGAGAGAGACACTTGAAAATTCATTCCACCCAGTCCAATTCAGTATAGCAATATAGATTATATCTATACATAGAAGAACTGATTATTGATTGGTTTTCCAATGGATAAATCTCCAATAACAAAGAATTTGCCCCCACAACACATCCTATAAATTCTCCCTTGAACATTTGCCAGCAGCTAATATCCAAGTCCGTATGCAGGCGATTACACTTCGCATTTGCTCTGCACTCGTAAAATCACGCATTTCTTCGCTCAGTGGACAGTACTTCAACACAGCTCCGTCGGGCTATAGGACGTAATCGGAAATTTAAGGCTGGCACGAGGCAGACTGTGGAACCTGTCTCCTGCTAATTATCCCGACGATCGCGTCTTAATAGCCGCGTTCACACGTAGCAAGAAATCCGGTATTTAGCGTTCACACGAGGCAAAATGCGCGGTCCAAGAAATACGGTATCTAAACAGATCCGGTATTTCATGTAAATACGAGGCTTCCCAGACCCCAAATAATTTGCCGTGCTTGAGAAATACCGGATCTCTTGGACCGCGCATTTCCTCGTGTGAACGCTGAATACCGTATTTCTGATGCCGCGTATTTTATAGACTGGTCCGCGCTCGACTATTCCAGTGTAACGCGAGTGGAACTGTCGAGCGCGGACCAGTCTACGTATTTTATCGGCAGTTGGTGCGCATTGCATTGTTTATTTCGCATTGTTCGCTAGATTGTTTAAAGCAGCTCGCAGCTCGCAAATACCGTATTTCTGGAGCCGCGAATCAGCGTGTGAACGCTCGGCCGCGTATTTGTCTCAGATTCGGTATTTCGCAAATACCGTATTTCTGGAGCCACAAATCAGCGTGTGAACGCTCGGCCGCGTATTTGTCTCAGATTCGGTATTTCGCAAATACCGTATTTCATAAATACGAGGTCTCGTGTGAACGAGACTAATGTTGCCGGCCTATACACATCATCGTGCCCCACCTGCCCATTCCACTCGGGATTGATGGTGTTCTGCACAACGTGTGTCCGCCAGTACTTGGGAACGTAGCCGTCGCTGCCCCACGCCGGCCCCGGCTTGATGCTTAACTTCACGTATGGGTCAGGGCTAAAAAACATGCCCTTGCGCAGACCACTCGCACGGATGGCTGCGCACAGAAAAACACGGACATGAGGATGACTATGGCACCTATAATTTTCACTAGAGAAGGCACAGGAAGCCTTAAGGTGAGGGGCTATCCACGTCATCCTTTCTCTGAACATTTCGTCAATGCCAGAGAAATTGACGGATCAAAGCAGGAACTTTACATCGCATGAATGCGCTTTACAATATCTGCACTGCCCGAGAGTTTCTTCCACCGAGTTACACTCATTGATAGACTGCAACACATCTACTGATAAGACTAGTAGACAGAATTTTTGCATCTGTACATCCCGTTTTACACTTATATAACAGATTGATGGTTATGCGGCAGAATGGAACGTGGAGATGACTTACTTGATACGACTATTTTGACCATCTGCGAGTTATCCTTCTGATTTACCTGAAATAACAACATCGCAGTATAAGAACCTGTCAAAACGCTGGCGTAACAACTATACACATGCTAGAAGATTCTCGTGTTATTTTCCATAAAACTTTGGATAAACAGAGGCAACATCATTGGCAATAAAAGCAATTAGTTATGCACAAAACTGATACCCAATAAATAAAAAAGAGATCCGAGGTTTCGGTTACCTTATTGTATTTGTGGCTACCCTAATGCTATCCACGCATCAAGTTAACCCTAATCCTATGAACCTATAGGTAACTCTAATCAAGACACTTCTCAGCTACGTTCTACGTTTTAAGTAGGAACAGCACATGAAGCTAGTGAGCAACTCCCTACCTCAGCTCTGTTAGCAGTGTTAGGGTTTATAATGTTGATTGTAGCTGACGATGCTCTCAGAGCACCGGTCGAGCCATGATAATACCGGAAGCACACCCTGGTCACCGCTGCAAGAAACACAAGTGTATCAACACAGTGAGCAACATGAATAGAAAAGAAAGTATCACTCAGGCCACAATTAAAAAAATCTTTGTTTGCCCTCACCCGACCCAGGCTGAAAAGTTTGGGTAGATAGTAGGCTTCTTCTTTTTTTGAGGGGGGTCTTTTTACAAATTCAGCATGGTGTTTACATGCTCGGGTGTGCTTGTGTGGATACAGATTTATATAATGTATAATGATACAATTTGTAAAAAAAAGAATGGGAAAGATCAATAAAAATGTTTGAGTCGGCCCCTCCCAGAGATGCAACACATATTTAGCAATCTGTAGTTTCTGGCCATCAAATTAGTAGTTCAAGGGTCTTGTCGTAATGACCCGAGTTTGCTAGAGGGGTCGCGGCATGCCCCCCACGGAAAAAAATTTTGATTCTGAGATGCAATTCCTGCATGCTGAGGGTCAATAATGACAAGAAATTGACCAAGACATAACAAAAACAAAAAAATTTCGATCACAGTGAAATTCGTAGTTTGATACAAACTGGTCGTAGTGGTGCAAAAGGAATAGAAATTCGTATAATACGGATAAATCGTAGTGGTTGGCATCTCTGCGGCCCCTTTTGGCAGGCAAGTCGGTGTCGAGGGCAAACAACACAATTTTTATTATGGGCCTCAATATGACAACAAAAAGACTCCTAAAATTATGTGCTACAGAAATTATTTGATAAGAACAATTGGGATACAGGGCACTATTGAGCACCTATGACCACCATTCCTTTAGTTAGATCCGCAC